AGATGAGGCGAGCAACGCTCAAATCAAGCAATCGAAGCCGAACATGGAGGGGCAGGCTAGGAAGAGCAAGCAAGCAGCTGGCAAGCAAGACTTCAGCCGTACCCATCCAACCCAAAAGCAGCTCAGACAATGGAGGGTCAAGCAAATGCAAGCACTGCCAGATGCCAAAGGCTGTTGGGTGCTGTCTCTCTTTCTTGCCGACCACAGCTGACGATGATTGCGGTGCCAGTGTCAGGGTGCCATTTGCCAGTGCCACTGCCAGTAGCGCAGCATTGCAGAATGCGGTGCCGGCGTGGGCTGTGGTCGTAGCCAATGAGAGGTAAGCTGTTGCCAAAGCATGCGGCTAAGAATGGTGACGCCAGTAGCCGGCCCCAATCTGTCGTAGAAATGGGGGAACAAGCACATGGTCGCACACGCCAGTCCCGCCCATACTAGGCCGCCACCGGCCGACAACCCCTCCAAGATTTTTTTTTTTTTTTTTTTTGGTGTGTTGTTTTGGCTTGGGGGATTGATAGGCGATTGCAAGCTCCATTCCCGCGGTGACCTTACATCACATCCACAGGGATTACGACCAGGGGTCGCTCGTCTGGGCCTACGGGTGTGTGGGGTCGTCTGCAGTCGTACATAGTCGCATGCCCAAGGAAAAAGGGTGCATGTGTAGCGCTGTGCAGGAAAGAATGTGCGGCTGTCCCAGAGAAAGAGAGTTGGGACGGAGGACAGAGATGCCAAATTCGCTGCGAATTGATGCGCCGTCAAATGCCATCGCCGCTGCCGCTGCTGTTGCTCTTTTCAGAGCCATTGGTGTTGCCAATGCCGCTCTCTCGTCAAAAGTATGGCTCAGACTCGCACAGCCGTTTTCGTATGAATTGGTCTCGTCAAGTGCTGCTTTCTCGGTGTCTCGCTTGTGATGCTCGTGTCTCTGTCTGTTCGGCTCCGATTTCTCTCACATATTCAAGCTCTCTGCTTCGATTCTCGTCTCTCCTGTGTGCCTTGCTGTTGGGCTGAATTGGGTGGTTGGTGGCATTGTGTGTAAGGCAGGTGAAAGGTAGTGGGAATGGCATGGCCGTGTCTCGGGTCTTGAGACGGCGGTCCCTATGTGAGCGCACGTATATAAAACTTACCGACAGGCTTGGGGTATTGTAATGGACCGAACGTGGTCGAGATGTTTGCGCAGTGGGATCGAGAGGGTTTCTTTTCTACCGTCGTAGCACCGCGCGTGAAGAGTGGGAGGGCGGAAGAAAGAGAAAAACAGAAAAGGTGGGAGGTGGGAGACTGGCAGCCTTTTATTAAGATTTGGTGTATTGGTCCAAGTGTGTGGGCGAAGACGGGAGAGAGAGGAGTGGGTGAAGAAGGAGGAGGAGTAAACGTCCTGAGTCGGCGCTGGGCCCAAGCTGGGGGAGGGGTGGTTGGAGGGGTTATCGAGAAGAGGCTAACAAGATGGATGGGAAGAAGGCGATCGCCGGCGGCCACCCGAACGACAAGAACGCAAGACCAGAGGAAGCCAATGCAATCTGGATGAATAAGACGATCCTGTATGGAGACATGAAATTGGCACATAGTAGGAAAACGGGGCAATGGGTTCGGGGAGCACGAGAGCGAAGAGCGGACGAGGCGCGGAACGACAATAACACGGCAAGAAGGCCCTTTTCGGGGATACTGGCGCTTTCCTGCCAGAAACGACCGATGGGCTGGCTCAGGTTCTCACTTGCCTTGTTACTTTTTTCACCTTGTGGCAAGCCGACCAGAGAAAGGTTCAGCCAACCAGTGGCTCTCTTGGCCAGAATGTTGATCCACTGCTCAAGGTACAAGCAGACAGGCAGGCTAAAGAATACCCGTCTACTGGAGAAAATCATACGGCCCCTCCCCTGGTAATTTGCGAGGTGCAGTAGGCCCAAGTGCTGGTGTTGCATATGCGCTCTGCCTCTCTCTTTTTCTCCCCCTTCTCTGCGGCTTTCCTGTCGTGTTTCTACGTTTACTGAGAGGGGAATGGGCCGAAAAAGAGCAGTGGGGGTTTGCAGCATGCAAAGTGGGATGAAATGGGGGTACGTACCAACCCCAAATGCAAGAGCTGAGGGAAGGTAGTAAGTTGCTGCAAGAGGCACTGAGATGGGATGAGAATGGGAAGGAAAGGCACGACCTCGTAGCTAGGTACCGAGAAGGAGAGACGGGAAGTCATGCAAAAGGGCGGCAGGAGCAGCGGCAGCAAATGGAATGGGAGGAAAGAGCCCAAAAGAGGGGTACGTATCGGTGAGAGAGGCTCCGTGGACGGCGCGGCTGTGTCTGTGCGCTGCTGCTGTTGCTGCCTTCCTCTCGGGCGTGTCGGTCTTTCTCTCCCATCCCATCCCATCCCATCAGGGTGGCCTTTTTTCTGTTCTCGACAGGTACGCTTTTTTCGAAAACCAAGCAGACACGGACTGCCTGGAAGGTGTAAGACAAAACCATACTCCGTAGCATGGTGGGGTCCGAACAACTTACGCAGTACGGATCCCTTAGCAGGGCGAAGCGCGGTCCAATCAATGCATCGATCAATCCAACACGTATGTCTCCCATTGGCGGCGTCTGGCGAGAGTCTCCAAATCTCTGACTCTTCGACAGCGCACTAACAGAACGGGACCCGTGGGTTGCTTGCGGGTGCCACTCTCCGCCCCGCCTCCGGTCCATGGGGCATGCGTCGTCTTCTCTCCTGCTCCGTTTTTCGGTCCATGATCCATCTCTTTTCAGTGGGCTCGCCGCTCCTCTCCACTGGCCCCTAGTCATCCAAGTTGATGCTCCCATCTCCACCATGCCACCACCACCCTGCTAGCCTCCCACGACATGGCCTGGGAAGCTCGCCGCTGTTCGACTGTTACCATGCAGCAAACCTTGGAAATAACCCCTTCAAGGTGGCCTGTCCACGGGTGAGCATGGCCTGAAAGTGGACCGGTCCAGCGCACCATTCTGCCCCTCCACGGCTCTGGCACGCCGCACTTCAGGCCCAGCTCGACAATCAACCGCACGGCTGTTTTCACAACGCTGCTTCTGACGGGGGACCATGCTCTCGGGAAATGGAATGGAAAGCCCCCCCTTTCCCCTTCTCAGTATTACTGAGTCCTCCTAGAAACCACATGCCAGAAAACACCGCACATCGGCCAGAAGCAAGACACCATCGACACCACCTACCTGCCTCGGGAAATGGCCATTCAGAGGGATTGACGGCCAGCTCATCAATGAACGACCGCTTGCACCGTCAATCTCAGCCTTCTCAGGCCAATGTCTCGGCTTTTGATTGCTACACAGCAACAACTCCCGGCATCCCACGCTTCCCGAGAGCGCCCTCGCTCACACTTTAGTCTTCAAGATGTTCATGATCTTCCGCCACGTCAACCTCGATCGACTTTCCTAGCCGTCGGCTCACCCTTCACCCACCATCCTAATAATCGATCCACCCACTCGCTACCTCACGCTTCCTCGCCAGTCTCTCCATTGCCCCAAACCTTCGTCTCATGCTACCACCAAAGGCAATACGTGCCGCCAATCTACTTCCCCATGCGCCACCACCACCTCCTCCAGAAATCTAACTGGGTCCCTCCCACCACGGCGGACGTGCCAACGTTGCTCTGCGGGGTCCTCCCCTGACCGTTGGGTAGGTATTCCGTCACGCCGTACTACCGGCCTGGCAACGCTTCACCCCAAATCCACAATGATACTGGCTTTTCTTTTTTCTTCATCGTTGGTCGAACGACATTGGGTTCAAAACCTCGAGGTAAGACTCCAGATTACCTAACGTACAGCCCGGCCGCCTCATCTGGGGGGGATGGATCACGACAAAAAGCGTTCCTCATCTTGCTAGGTCGATGCTGCCGACATTGTTTGAGCCAAATTGGCACTCCACAAACTTGTCCTTTGACCGACAAACACAGCTTCCATTCATTTCATTCCGTTCGGATATTCCGCCCGGACCTAGCGCGAGGAGATGCCACGCCTCGGGAGCCATATCCCATATTCCGCCTGAGAGTCTTGGCCAATGGCGGTGACCCAATTTCAGATCGATCAATTTGAAGAAGATCGGGTCAGTGTATATGACGCCGGAGGCAAGCGGAGCCTTTTGCTGTGTAGTCCGTGGCTTAATGGCTTTTTCTGCCCGCTGCTGGGCTTGAATACACATCAGAAAAACACAGACCGCCATGCCTTACTTTGCCCTGCGGATCAAACGCTGTGCGCATTTGTGACTCGCTTCGGATGCATTCCGAACGCCATTCAGCGCTGCGTTTGCTCTACTCGAGGCATATGGAAGATATCTCGGGTAGTCACCCGAGACGTGTACGCAGTGCTGCAGTCTACCAGACGCGACGGTGGACGGTCAAACTTCTTCCGCACATCCCGGACAAGCAACGTCCTATGGTTTACTTGGCCACTCTGGCGAATCCCTTTCCGTTCAAGCGTCGCTTGCGGAATACTGTGTGTAAGAGAATTTTGACACAAAAACCCAACGCCTCGGCGAAAACCAGCAGCAGAGATGCACCCCACACACTCCATGCGGGCCAAGCAGGGGGTACCCAGTCGTTTTTCGCTCTCTCGAAAAGGAGTCGTTGAAAGGTTAATGTCATCAACGAGCAAGCTTTGAGCTTGCACCAATCAGCGGCTTGTATTTCAAAGAAGCCCTTGGCCGAAGTCGCCTCGGATCTTGGGGCCCCTGATAAACCGCAGGATGCCCCCAAGCAATTGGACCCGGACCCTTCTTGGACATGGGCCACTCCAGCATCGATGCAAGTGATTGGGGGAGCAAGTTGGGGGAGGGGATGGTGTTGAACATCTGTTCCATTTCAAAGGCGCGCTTGCACATGCTGATGGAAGACTTACTTGTTATTGCATTGCTAGCGTGCAGAACCAGCATCTGTCAACTGGGCTGGCTTCAATGTCTCGCGGCCCTGCATGCACTATCTGTCATTGCTGCACTATCAGCCGGGGCAGGTCCAAAAGATGACGATTCTTGAGATCAACCAAGCTGCGTCAAGAACTCGATGTTGCGCAGATTCCGAGCTGTTTCCGAAATCCTTTCACGAATGAGAGTGGTCGGTATATCTCTTGTTTGCCTATCAGCCCTCCGATCTACGGAACTTGGTGGTGTCCACGGCCGGCTCGACGGCAGCGGCCGACGAAGGACCAGGGGGGGCATCTGGGCTGCGACCTGTATCTTTTCCTCAAGCGCCTGCGGCGGCATTGATCACGGATACCGATGGACGGACCGACTGACAAATGAACCCCCAACACGAGATCCGCTCAGCAGAAGGACGCAGGTTGACTGCGGTCTGCTCCGCGAGAGCGGTGTTCCAGGCGCGACGCACGTCGCAACTGCAAGCAATACGGGCTTTACTGGAAGGCTAACCAATGGCGGGCAGCACCGAGCACATGCAGACAGGGAGCGGCGCAACAGCAGAGAGACGGGATAGGAAGAACGATTCTTTGCTGTACAGAATGGCGCTCGAAAAGGCAACTAGTCACCCTCTTCTCCGGCATATCATCGACTGGCGAGTTGGGCGTCTGACTGCATTGCAGCATCGACAGTTGTTGCCCAAATCGAAAAGGGTTGCTGTCAAAAAATCGACAACTTGAAATTGGAGAAGCCGGCCAATCACAACTAGAGCCTCATCTTCAACCGTCTTATCTTGAGCCAACCAAGATGGCCGCTTGCTGCATCTGCATCTGAGCTATAGCGAGCGAGGTATGCCCCTAGTCGGCACATCCATGCCAAATGCGACCCCGCGGACCGGAGGCGTTCGAGATCTCACAGTTCCTTGCTCAGCACGACCCTGTCTGTGTACACGCACAGACATTCGTGGTCTCTTGGCTTCTAGAGCTGGAGGGGAGGGTGAGAAAAGGAGAATGAGGGGGCCATCTCCGACGGGATTCCAACGTTCAAGGTAGCCTGCTGAGAAGCGGCACAGACATGCCAGCCACATGAGAGACACCATCCGCACTCGGCGATGAACCACTTGGGAGCGACGCATGCATGGGCTACGTCACAAATGTCACCGATGTGCACAAAAAGATGCTTATTCACACACGCACGCAAGTACATACCACAGGTATTTTTTCCCCTCTCGGTTTAAAGTTTGTGAGAAAAGCTGGTCGGTCCGGGACTCACTTAGGGTTTCGCAGGTTAGCCTGTCGACCAGCACGTGTCTGCATCCTTGATCTGGATGGTCAGAAACTACATACGACCTGGAAGCGGTTACGATCACCTATGCCCTCCTGGAGCAACCCTCCATCTCCGCATTTGAGCAGCAATGACGCTTCAATATTAGAGGAAGTCGTCTCATATTGGATCCGTACAGTCGGCTAGAACACGGGGACGAATGAACAGCTCGGTGATTCTAGTCACAAATCAATTGTCCGGCTACACATGTCAGTGACATATCAAGCCCCATACTCGGAGCATGTTTAGCGGGCTCCTGGTCAGCAACTTGAACAACAGGAATTATAAATATCTGGTCTGGCTTTGGAAATGGTTGCTACGCATCCATTCTTTCACGTCCTTGTGGAGTTTGTCACGACACGAAGCGAAGCTAGGTGACGGGTCCGACATGGCATCTGCCATTTACCCATAGCGCTAACCAAGCCCCCCGAAGTCGGCTCGGCCGTTCACCCTAACTAGGGCCGGGCGGATGTAACCCCTGGCTGGCGTTCTGGGACCTATATCGGAGGCGGCCACGCCCTCAGACCCAATCCATACCAACTTGCAGGGGGGTGTCTTGCTTAGTTGCTCGGTAGTAGGTCTAGGACAGAAGCGAAAAAATAAACGGGCAGAAGAGAGAGTCCACTCGAGTCAGCCCACGGCCGCGAGGAATTCCCACAAAGCGGAAATATGGCATTTGAAACCTCCACTTGCGCAGCCAATGCCAGCAACTCCGAAGTCAGCGCTGTTCCGACTTCTCCCGACGAGACACATCAGAGCGGCGCGGGGCGAATGCGCTGGTCCCTCATAACCCCGTCGCTATGCGAATCAATGGCAGACGAGAGTCGACGCAGAAGCGCAGAGAATGTAAAAAAATGGAAAACGAACGAATCCAACACCCCTGCTTTTTCTTACCAAACGAAAACAGTAAACCCCCTTGGAAACGAGGAGACGCAGGCGCCTGAGGGCTGAGCCCACGCAGTTTGGATGAAACCTAGTAACCAAGGAGCGCATGTTCAACGAGTTCGGTCTGAGATTGATGCGAGGCACGCTGTATGTACAGCAGTTCTGGCGGTGGGAACTGGGTCTAAGTCCCGACGGAGGGAAGAGTCATTCGGTCAAACTGGCGGAGACTCTCAATTGGGTTTGAGCATATTTTTATTTTTCAGATGCTTTACTGTTAGCCTGACGGAGGGGCATGGAAATGGCAGCCTCTCAGGCACCCACACATCACTTTGCGATGAAGCAATCGTGACTGTGCTGAAGTATGGCACACTTAAAGACATGTCGTTGAATCTGTGAGGCAGACGACCACATTTCTGCCGCCCGCAATGAAGCATCGTGACTTCTTCTTCGCAGGGATTAAGCGCGCTAGACGCGGCGCGTCTGCCAATGTGGGGTAGACCCTTACACCCCCCGGCAAGTACGTACTGTCGAATTGTTTACTCTTTGCAACCTCGCGACAAGCAACTTGCAGCGGGGTCCTGTGCCATTTGCGACGAAAGCTCTCGACAGCTACGAAACAGCTTCCATTCAGCTGTCTCTGACATCAATTCCTTTACGCGCATCAAGTCATTGAAACACCCGCAAACCTAGAGCATTGCCTAACGGCACCTTGCGAGTCACAATGTTTGGCCTCTTACCAGACCTCACCCCACGAGACGTAAGCTCCCTCTACCTCTATTGACATCTCCATAAGCATCCATCTCGCTCCTCCATGCAACTATCGCGACAGCTATCTAACCTCATTGTCAACAGTCGCACTCGATCTGGTACACCTCCTCCCGCAACCCAATAACCCAAGCCGCCCTCCTCGAAGCCCACGAACACAACAACCACCATGGCTCCGCACAACAGCAACAGCAGCAACAGCAACAACAGCAACAAAACAGTTCCTCCTCCCGCCGCGCAGGCCAACTCCTCATCGAGCGGTCCGCGCTGGCACGCCTCCGCGCCGACGAGCACACAATGGACCGCCGCAGGCTGCACGTGCAAAATTTCGGGAGCACGTGGCTGAAGCCGCCCGGCGTGCCCAAGACGCTGCACCAGATCCGCGAGGAGCGGCGGGAGCAGGAGGAGCACGCCGAGGCCATGAGGCGGGAGCAGCTCGCGCTGGAGCTCGCTGAGGCGGAGGCGGGCGGGCAGGATGATGATGGGGGGCTGGGGGTGCTTGGGGAAGGGGAGGATGGCGAACAAGAAGAGGAGGCGAGGGATCTGGATGATGAGATTCCGGATGCTGCGGAGGAGAGTTTTGGGTTTGATGGCGGGGAGGATAGTATGGCGGATGATTTGTCGTCGAGTGAGGGGCGGCCTCTTTCACTTGATGACAATGATGATGAGGAGACTGAGGAGGAGGAAGACGATGACGACGAAGATGACGACGACGCAACGGCCGTGGACGAGGACGAGTATGAGAGGCGAGATGGCCTCGTCGCGGCGAGGATGCGCATGGCGGACGACGCCTTCAGACAGGCCTTGGCGCGGGGCGACGTCGACGGCGACGACATGTACGGCGCCGAAGAAGAGCTCGAGGCATCGGGCCAGGGCCAGATGCTCGACGAGGAGGACCTGCTCGAGGACGGGTTTGCCGCTGAGGGCGTTGTCGATGACGACGACTTGGGTATGGGCGTCGATATGGACGCCGACCTGGATGACGAGATTCCCGAGGCCGAGGGGCTGAGCGGGGTATATGAGCATACGGACTCCGAGGCCGAGGTGAGCGGGTTGACGAGTAGTGTTATTAGTAGTGGCGGAGAGGAAGATGATGAAGAAGACGATGATGAGGAAGGGGATATCAGTTTTGCGCCGAGGGCTGCGCCTTTGAGGGCCCCGTTGAGTCCCACTGGGGACCGGGGGAGGGGTAGCGCTGCTGGTGCTGCAAGGCATCATCATCATATGCCGAGGAGTAGTCTGGATCTCAGCGGGTTGCTTTCTGCGGACGGGAGTAGTATGATGGATAGTAGTCCCAACATGAGGGCTCATAGGCGTTGAAGGGGGTGGTGAAGAATGGGAAGGGAAGGACAGAGGAAGATGGAATTATGATACCCCCCACCGGTCCCCATACATTGTTTCGGGAGGCATGCACCGATAGACGTGAACATGTCCTCGCCTTCACGAGTCTTTATAGAAGCACAGCATGCATACACCAGTCTGAGGCGTTGGGGCAACAATAAAAGTTCAATTTGAAATCTTGACAGAAATGCAAAAAGGCGTGAGCACCAGAGACTCGGTGTCGAAGGTTTATAGAAATGTAAAAGAGGTAGGTGTATGTATACACGGCCATTACAAAAGCTTTTAATTTGTGTCCTCAATACTTGACAAGTGAAAGGGAAATCGCGCCTTCTTCTCACCCTTCTCCCCCTCTCGAATGGTAAGAGACATCGCACCTCCACAGCAGAAAAGGAACCATGCCGTTCTGCCATTCTGTCCCTATTTGGTTCGTATCAGAATGTCCTTTTCGTGATCGTTCATCTCTTTCCTCATGTCCTCAATGCTTTGAAAAGGAAACCAAAATTGTCGGACCCTCCACGAGATTCTCGACCCTCTCTCTCCCACTCCCGTGCAATGAAGATGATTCCAGGCAAATAGAACCGTTTAGAAAACGCCTCCGACGCCGAGCATGCAAGAATAATGGGTTTGCTTCCCAACCAAACGCACCGCACCATTCCGGGAAGGCTATTGGAGCCTGCCCCTCACCCCTCTTTTCCAGCTAAGTTTTGCTGTCTTGTCCTTTTGTGTTGAGATTGGCTCCCTCGTTTCCTACGTCTAGGACGTTTGACATGAACAGTCCTTCGATCTCAGTCTCTTGAGCTCGCAGGGTTCACTAATGTCGACAGCCTCGGTAAAGCCCACGTAGCAGACGGCCGTTCACCCCTCCGAGCTTGAATAGCCCCAAACTTGTAGGAGGCAATCCATAACCACGCTCGTCTCCCCGACATGACGGATAAACCGTGCGTATCGCCTTTCGCCTTGATCTCGTCGATGTCGTAGTCGTAGTCGTCGATGCAGGCTACGCTCTTAGAATAGCCAGACGTACATGAACAAGAAACACACAGCCGCGAAGAAACCGAGCCAGACCTTCCAGCCGACGCCCGTCTTCTCCGCCATGACGAGCATGCGGTTCATGGTCCCGCGGATGCGCAAGCGCGTCGAGTCGAAGCTGTCGTTCATCTTCTCTGCTAGAGCCGAGGAGTCGCGGATCTCGTCGCCAATGGCAACCGTCATCTGCGTGTCTCATGGTTTTAGTCTCCTTCTTTCGTGTCTGGGTTTTGTTCCGTGGAAGATGCGGTTGAGGCGGAACTTACGCTCTTCAAGATCTTGACTTTGCCCATGATACCCGCGACCTGTTCATCGTTCTGGCTCTCGAGCTCGTTGAGCACGGCGTCGCTGTACTGGCCGCTGATATGTCACATCCGTCAGCAAGTTGTCCCAAGCTTGA